AGTCTCTTAAGAGAAATGATACTTAAAACAGTTACCTTTTTCTATAACACTGGGATTTTTTATTTCCAGAGTATACCTTTTCATTAAAATTTACAGACGGGTATAAACAAAGCTGAGTCAAAACGCTGGCCCGTGCGTACCTTTCTGTATGTTTCATATTGTATTGCTCACTCCACACAGTATAAGAGAGTTACTTTGTCCAGACCAAACAAAGCAGCGCATCTGGTGTAGTGGTATCATAGTACCCTCCCACGGTACTGACCAGGGTTCGATTCCCTGGATGCGCATTTATTTTTATTTCCTTTTTTTTCTTACTTACGAAAGTTTTAATTGCCTATGATTTTAATGAATGAATGATGGAGCAGAACACATAATAGTTTGTCGTTCATTATTTGTCGTGGAGGCTGTAGAAGGCGACAGTATTAGTTACCTATGATTTTAATGAATGATGGAGCAGAACACATTGCATTTTTGTTAAGTTCTATTCCACTTCAGGCTCAGTCACGACACAAAGATAGTTTCTCATGCACCTTTGTCGCAGAAGTCGAGAAAGAGCGAGGAGACTGTTGGATATATTATCAATTTTTTATAAATTTAATCCAGATGAAAAACACAACGAAAATACTCGCAAGATTAATGACATATTCTAATCTAATATATACATACCAATGCGTACTAGACACGGAGTGTGTGAAACTAGGATATACTCCTTCCGTTTCATAATGTAAAACGTTTTTTGACACTACACTAGTGTCAAAAAACGTCCTACATTACGGGACGGAGGGAGTACTTATAAGTATTGCACATACATGAAACAGTAAAAAGATGAACATATCATACCTTCCAATCAGGAAGGTCAGGTATGTGGCGGTTGCAACAGCCTTCTTCGCGGCACCACTATTGTTACCCACGGCGTAGTCGGGGAAGTAGTCAAAGTCGTGGAAGAGGTCGCAGTCATGGAAACTTGTGGACGGAAGTGAACAGTTGTGAAGACGCTCCCAAAAGGCTTATCACTCTTCTTCGGTGCAGGGTCTCAGAGGGCGTGGCTATGAGGCCCGCTCTCCCGCAAAATCATGCACGCGGCTGTCGGGATGGAGCCACCAAAAGCAGCAACAGCGAGAAGAAAGACAATGGTGTGCGTTGTGATTGATGTGTGTGCATAGAAGAAGTCTTGGGATTGATACCGTAAGTTTGTCTCTTAGTTTTTTTTTCTCTTAGACACTAAACTGTTGAATGTAGGTTTTAAACAACTGCATCTTACAAGTTAGAATGTGCGAAACTGATTGTTTTCCTTGCTGGTTAGGGTTCTCATTACTAATCTGCATTTCTTAATTTAGTTGTAATTTTATCAATAACTCATTGTTCTTATTCTGTGATTTGAAGTGTAACATTGCCTTTTTACTTCTAATTTCTTGCTGACATTGGAGTCTGGGGTTGTACTGTCTGTTTGGTTCATAAAAATTTAATATTGAAAGGTGGTTCATGGTTATATGTAGCTACCTAGCATACCATGATGTCATGATCCTGCTGTAAACTTAGACCTGGCTATATTTATTTATTTTTCTACCAAATGATAGAAGCTTTCAAGGAATTTTGAAGGGAAGTTGATGTTAATCATCATAAGGAAACTGTTATCTTAGTTTTGCTATTTGAAATGTGAATCGGTTCTTTGAACGTATGTTGCGTCTGGAGGCAAGGATTCAAACGAAGGAGGGGGAGCAGCCGCGCCCGGAGGAGGTCGTCCCCGGTGCCCGCATCCTCCTCGAAGAGGCCGTCCCCGATGTGTGGACATCAACCTTAGAAGTCACGCTGGGAGACAGGAGGATAGGCAAGTTCGTCATTGCTGAAGGAGCACCGGCACCAAGTCTTTAACAAAAAATGTAATAATGAAAAACAGTATGAGGTCTTATGATTTTACTCACACTACAATACTAGAACACCACTTACAGTCTCTTGTTCTTCCTGCGGATATTACTATATCTGTATGGAAAAAATTATATTTCGAAAAAGTGTATACAAAGTGGTGCGCCCCAACAGCTAGTACTTTTATTCAAGTGTACGTGCTGGCCGTGCCCGAATGCACAAGTTAATAAAAATTGGTGTTTGATTAGTTCCCGTCGTCGTCGCCGCCGTGTCCTGGTAGCCTACGATCATGTACCGGAAAACTTGCCAGGTTACTAGTAGTAATTATATTGGATACGTACGTTACCCTAGCCGCCTAGCGACGGCAGATCTCGATGGAAGAGACGACGGCGGTCTCGCTCCCGGCGGACGTGCTGCTCGAGATCCTCTTCCACGTCAAGGACGACCCGGCCGCCCTCTTCCGCTCCGCCACGACGTGCAGGCAGTGGCTCCGCCTCATCGTCGACCCCTCCTTCCTCCGCCGCTGCTGGCCGCCGGAGAACGCGCCCTGCTGCGCCTTGGTCGGCTTCTTCACCCAGGAGGAGCGTCCGGGCCCCAGTGAAGTTACCTTCAAGACGCCATGCTTCGTCCCGGCGCCACGGTCCGCCATGGCTAGCCTCGGCCGCCGCGCCCTCCGCTCCTTCTTCCCGTCCGCCCCCGCCAGCCTCTTCGACCAGGCGGTGCCGGCCGCCGCACGCCACGGCGTCCTCCTCATGCGCCTCGTCGACCCTGAGGACCCGAACAGGGCAGTCGTCCACCTTGCAGTGTGCGATCCGCTCTCCGGCGCGTACGATCTGCTTCCGCCCGTGGAGTGGTGCTCGGCCTCCACCGCCTACAACGGATACGCCATCCTAACCGGTGCAGACTGCCGCCCCCGACGGCCACCCATGTCGTGCTTCAAGGTGCTAATTAATGGTCGACATTGACTACAATCGTTACACACACCTTCTCGTCGGAAGAAGCGAGCTGGACCCGTGTGCCTCACCTGTGCCTCGGTCATGCCTGTGCCAGAGCACACACGGTGTTTCCTCGTAACGAAGCGGTCGTGTACCACAGAGCAGCGCACTGGCTCAGAGGATTGTCCAGAATAATGGACTTGAACCCTGAGACCTGCTTGTCCACAGTGGACATGAACGCCGAGACCGGCCACCTCTCCCGGTCGGAGCTCCCAATCCCAGGGCAGAACACAACCAGACGCTCTTATGCTAAGCTATGCCTCAGCACCGCTATCATTGACGAGGACGAAGAAGAAGCACCATCTTTGCTCTGGATGCGACAAGGAAGTCTCGAGGTAGAGATCTGGGAACGATGCGGCCAGGAAGACGGCGTCGATGACGATACTTTAGCATGGCAATGTGCTCGGGTGCTCGAGATAAAGCAACCGAAAGATATGACGGAGACTCAAGTAAGTACGCTACACATGCTAGCAGAGAAATGTGGCACGTTGCTCGTCAATGCCGACGGACGTTTTTACGTTGTTGACCTCAAAACTGGGACAATGGAGGAGGTCAGGGGCTGGCCTCGACACTGGAGGAAGGTCGTACCTTTTGAGGCGGACTGGCCGTCAATCTTCATTCATCGACTTGGCAGTCCCTAGTAGTCAAGGAAGAGTTTTTACAGTAATGAGTTTTGTTTTAGTCCCATTGTAAACTTATTAATAAAGAATAATGGGAAATTATTGCGCCAATACAATGCAAAGGTGGATCGCGATTGTGCTGGTATGGATGCGCTAGCAAATATGGTTTGCCGACTGGAAGCTGCTGTATAAGAATTTAGTATCTTGCGAAGGGAGTTCACTTGCTTTGATGATCCAAAAATAAAATCAACCTGACAAAACAACAAGGTTTTTTACATTAGCTAACCTCTTTTCAAGCAAAAAAGCATGGCGTCGTACAAGATATGTAGACACTGCATATGAAATTGTTGGCTTGGGGATGAAGAATAGATGAATGGTCACCTCGTCGATAACTAATATTTTGATTGATCCAAGACTGAAAGCATGCTTCTCAACCATTTTGACCCAAGCTTGCGACAGTAGCTACAAGCATACAATTGCTGCAGGTGGCTCTGCCTGAAAACAGGACGACATTGTTAGCAGGTTGACAGCACAGGAGATAACAGAACTACATCAATAACGGCACTCTTTATATGTTGAGTACATAGAAATTATACATGAATATGCATATCTGCCAAGCAAATTTCCCTTCCTAACTGCCTATGCAACATAAGAGGGACCGTAAACTTACTATCGACATGAGACTAGATCTAAAAATGCCATGTACCATAATGTTTTTGGGATTAAGAACTGATTGGCATAACCACAAAATCCACCAAGAGATGGCCACTTACCTTTACCCAGCTCTTTTGCTTCCTGAGCATCCCACCACCAAGCAAGGTCATGACGTTGCAAGCCTTCGCTGGGAGAAGCCTAGCGCATGACCACGAGAAGCCTAGCGCTGCGAGAAGCCTTCATGGATGATATGATAGGCTGGTAGATCCTAGTTTTGATCAAATATGATTAGGTGACATAATAAAGGTTTGCAAAACACACACTGAAACCACAATATGCTTGACAAGTTCAGATCTCTTGTGCTCTAACAAGACTATTAGCTAGCTATATACATGAAACTAAAATTTCGGAGCATGATTTTCTGTCTGCAAGCCGATACCCGATACATGTGTCACCCTATCTGATCATCTGATACAAGGATGATGCCTGCAACAACATGGTTCCTTACCTGCTATGGTAGCATAGCATTCAGCTGCCATTTTTTATTTTTGAAACAGAAAAGTAGCTTTATTAACATACGGATGCAGCTAGATCACTAGCCACCAGAGGAGATAAAGGAACAGCGTCATGCCAATACAAGGTACCTCCCTGCACCATGGGTAGCCAGGACATGCGCCACCGAGTTACGGGCACGCTTGCACACGAGCACTTTAAAATCAACAAAGGTAGTAAAAAGAAGAAATTTTGCCTCCCGAGAGAGAACTCCGTTGCGAGAAGTGTCCATTCATTGGAAAGAAGAGCTGAAGCAAGCACTGTCGAGTCCATCTCAATGATGATACGCGCAAGCCCAGCTTCAGCCGCTAGCTAGCTAGTTTAGCTTCATCTGCTCCAAGAAGTTCTTCCCCTCGAGCTTGGTCGAGAAGAAGGTCCTCATGAAGCTCTCGAGGTCCAATGTCTTGTAGGCATCGTCTTCGTGTGCGGTCAACTCCTTCATAGGACCTATCATGGTGTGGATGTTTGGGAATTGGAACGCCGCAATCGACAACCGTTCTTCCTTCGGGTCGACAACAGCCCGGTGCTCGATGCTCCTGTACCTCCCGTTCGTCAAGACCTGTCCCCGTCAAAGCAAAACAAACAACTCAAATGCACAGATTTATTTGGTTGATGATATGTCAATTCTGCAAAATCTAGCTAAGCATATGACGGCGCCATACACTCTGTAACATCTGATCATCGGCAGACAGAAGCACCAAATCGGTGTTCACTCTAACTGCGCGTGCTCACCTCAAACATATCTCCGATGTTGACGACGAAAGCGCCCGGGACGGGCTTGACAGGAAGCCAGCTGCCGTTCCTCTTGATCTGCAGGCCCTGGACATGATTCACTTGGAGGACAAGTGTCAGGAGATTAGCATCAGAGTGCGGGGACAAGCCAACGACTTTCTCTGGTTGGGCGCATGGTGGGTAGTAGTTTATTCTGACTTTCTGCATTCCACGGATGCATTTGTCAGCAATCGCCTCTCGTTTCAGACCCAAGTTCTTGGCCATCGTAGCCAAAAGGGAGTCTGATACATCCTTCACCGCATCAGAATATCTATCCAGCGCCGATCTGAATGAGACGACCAAAAAGCATCATTCCGTTGTAACTAAGAAGCTGAAGAAGAGCATGACAGACACAAGCAATGAAGAAGAATATCATCACAATCTAGCTACATACCTGAAGGCAGCAGGCTGGTCAGGCCAGAACTTGGTGTTCCTCATCTCAGGTGGCTGTGTGTAGAGGAAGAGCATGTCGGCCCAGTCGAGCTTCTGATCCTCAGAGACGACGAACAGTTGACCGTAGCCTTCTAGCTGCCCTTGCTCCTGAGCGAACCGCTTCTTCGTCTCTGCGGATAGCTGGAAGAATTGCTGGATGTTGGCCTTCATACTCTCCACCACATCGTCTGGGACACTGTGGTTAACTAACTGCAAACAAACAGGAGAACAATTCTAGCTACTATCAGGATGATCATGCATACATATACCAGCGGAAGTCAAGTGTCTTTGCATAGCAGTAGAGGCCGGAGTGCAATGGAAAATGTGAGCCAAGCCAACGAACGAAGCGAACTAACCTGGAAGAAACCCCAGTCCTGGCAGGCTCTGTGGAGGCGTGCAGACTCCTCGCCGCCATGGTCCAGCTCCAGCAGCAGCCTTTGGTGGTCGATGATGGGGATCTGAGCCTCGCCGTCGGCGTCGCCGGTGACCGCCTCTGCTGCCGCCTCTGGCCGGAGATACCTCAGCGGCACATCGTCTCCGCCGGTGGCAGCCACCAGGGCCTGCACACTCGGGACGGGGAGAGATCCCATCTCTTGCCGCTCTTGATAATTGAGATGCTGCTGGTTCCCTGAATATTGGAGTCTTGTGTTCTGGCTACCACATGTATCTTCTTTTGGCATATATATAAGAGTTATAGACAGATGGTAGCCAACGACACGCATCATCCAGTGATATAATATTCAGAAAATCAGTCCAGCTGCAATCATAGAAATAGAAAACTGCCAACTTGCAAGTTTTCTCATACTTTTATTTTCTGGGGATCAACTTTCATTCTTGTCTTATTTTCTGGGAATCAACTTTTTTCACACTGGACAGAAACTACTCCCCCGTTTCAAAATAGATGACCCAACTTTATACTAACTTTACTATAATTATATACATACAACAGGATCTGGTCCGCTAGAATTGGAGAGAGAAGTAACCAAAAAGGAGAGCAATCAGAGATGACAAGATTATTATTTTTATCAATTTAAAAAGTAAGCATATGCATATACAGACACAAAATCAGTAAATGTGCTGTATGAAAGCAGCATGCATACATATAAGATTGCTTCTGAGGAAAACGGAAACCGCGGGTATTGACTTTTTGGTAGGGGTGGCGTGTGGGGGGCAAGTCGGTGTGCTTGCTTGCTTCCATCGATCACCACAATATAAATTGGTGGTTGTGCTTAATAAAATACTTCTACCGACAAGTAGAGCTTGATCTGCACTTCTTCCACCGATCGCAAAGTCCAAGTCAACTGTCCAATACACTGTTTTAAATAGCCCGCTATAGCTCCGCTATAGCACGCTATAGCGTTTATAAAAGGTCTTACGCTAAGAGACTTTGATCCAAACAAATGAACAAACATTTTAAATAGCGCGCTATAGCACGCTATAGCATTTGGAAGAGGTCCTTTTTTCTGTCAAGGACGCCCGTACCTGGATGGTACTCCACCGATGTGATAGCCCGAACGGCCTCTACCCGGTGAACTCCACCAACACCTCCACATCCGCTCCGGTCGCTCTCTCCGCCGCGGTGGACCTTTGGCATGCTCGGCTGGGACATCCAAACCCGGCCACCCTCCGTCATATTCTTAGGACTTTTTCATTCACGTGTAATAAAACCGATGATCATACTTGTCATGCTTGTTGTCTCGGCAAGCACGTCCGTCTTTCGTTTAGTGCGTCCTCATCGGTGGCGTCGTATCCATTTGAGTTGATTCATAGTGATTTATGGACATCTCCTGTTGCCAGTAATACGTGTTTTTATACTATCTTGTCATACTTGATGATTTTTCTCATTATGTGTGGACCTTCCCGTTGCGGAGAAAATCTGATGCACTCTCCGTTCTCACTACCTTTTACTCCTATGTCGCTACGCAGTTTTGGCGCCCCATTCATGCCTTGCAGACCGACAACGGGAAGGAGTTCGACAACATCGGGGTTCGTACCCTTCTTGCCACACATGGCACGATTCTTCGTCTCACTTGCCCATATACCTCGCAACAAAATGGTCGCGCCGAACGGATCCTTCGCACTCTCAATGATTGTGTGCGCACTCTTCTCTTCCATGCTAATGTCCCACCCCGGTTTTGGCCAGACGCCCTCTCCACCGCCTCTCTCCTCATCACCATTCGTCCGAGTCGTGCTCGTGGGAACTTTGCACCACATCATCTCCTCTTCGGTAGCCCTACCTTCTATGACGACCTTCGTGTTTTTGGGTGTCTCTGTTATCCTAGCATCGCCTCCACTACTCCTCATAAACTCGCACCTCGCTCCATGGCATGCATCTTTCTCGGATACCCACCAAACACCAAAGGTTATCGTTGCTATGATTCGGTTTCCCACCGAGTTTTCACTTTACGGCATGTTTACTTTGATGAGAGGTCTTTTCCCTTTCACCAGGTACCACCGGTCGACTCGCCATCGTCACCCGCGCCTCCTGGCGCCCCTCGAGGCGGCCGCTCACTTGCACTCGGGTGAAGGAAATATGCCCTAGAGGCAATAATAAAGTTATTATTTATTTCCTCATATCATGATAAATGTTTATTATTCATGCTAGAATTGTATTAACCGGAAACATAATACATGTGTGAATACATAGACAAACATAGTGTCACTAGTATGCCTCTACTTGACTAGCTCGTTTATCAAAGATGGTTATGTTTCCTAGCCATGGACAAAAGAGTTGTCATTTGATTAACGGGATCACATCATTGGGAGAATGATGTGATTGACTTGACCCATTCCGTTAGCCTAGCACTTGATCGTTTAGTATGTTGCTATTGCTTTCTTCATGACTTATACATGTTCCTGAAACTATGAGATTATGCAACTCCCGTTTACCGGAGGAACACTTTGGGTGCTACCAAACGTCACAACATAACTGGGTGATTATAAAGGAGTACTACAGGTGTCTCCGAAGGTGCATGTTGGGTTGGCGTATTTCGAGATTAGGTTTTGTCACTCCGATTGTCGGAGAGGTATCTCTGGGCCCTCTCGGTAATGCACATCACTATAAGCCTTGCAAGCAATTTAGCTAATGAGTTAGTTACGGAATGATGCATTACGTAACGAGTAAAGAGACTTGCCGGTAACGAGATTGAACTAGGTATTGGATACCGACGATCGAATCTCGGGCAAGTAACATACCGATGACAAAGGGAACAACGTATGTTGTTATGCGGTTTGACCGATAAAGATCTTCGTAGAATATGTAGGAACCAATATGGGCATCCAGGTTCCGCTATTGGTTATTGACCGAGAATGGTTCTAGGTCATGTCTACATAGTTCTCGAACCCGTAGGGTCTGCACGCTTAACGTTACGATGACAGTTTTATTATGAGTTTATAAGTTTTGATGTACCGAAGTTTGTTCAGAGTCCTGTATGTGATCACGGACATGACGAGGAGTCTCGGAATGGTCGAGACATAAAGATTGATATATGGACGGCTATATTCGGACACCGAAAGTGTTCCGGGCGTTTTCGGAGAAAACCGGAGTGCCGGAGGGTTACCGGAACCCCCCCCCCGGGAGAGTAATGGGCCTTATGGGCCTTAGTGGAGAAGAGAGAGGGGCGGCCAGCATGGGTCGCGCGCCCCCTCCCCCTCTGGTCCGAATTGGACTAGGAGGGGGGCGCCCCCCCCCCCCTCTTTCCTTCTCCCTCTCCCCCTTCCTTTCCCCCTCCTAGTAGGAGTAGGAAAGGGGGAGTCCTACTCCTACTAGGAGGAGGACTCCTCCTCCTGGCGTGCCCTCTAGGGCCGGCCGGCCTCCCCCCTTGCTCCTTTATATACGGGGGCAGGGGGCACCCTAGGACACACAAGTTGATCTACGGATCGTTCCTTAGCCGTGTGCGGTACCCCCCCTCCACCATATTCCACCTCGGTCATATCGTCGCGGAGTTTAGGCGAAGCCCTGCGCCGGTAGAACATCATCATCGTCACCACACCGTCGTGCTGACGGAACTCATCCCCAAAGCTTTGCTGGATCGGAGCCCGGGGGTCGTCATCGAGCTGAACGTGTGCTGAACTCGGAGGTGCCGTACGTTCGGTGCTTGGATCGGTTGGATCATGAAGACGTACGACTACATCAACCGCGTTGTCATAACGCTTCCACTTACGGTCTACAAGGGTACGTGGACAACACTCTCCCCTCTCGTTGCTATGTCATCACCATGATCTTGCGTGTGCGTAGGAAATTTTTTGAAATTACTACGTTCCCCAACAGTGGTATCAGAGCCTAGGTTTTATGCGTAGATGTCATATGCACGAGTAGAACACAAGTGAGTTGTGGGCGATACAAGTCATACTGCTTACCAGCATGTCATACTTTGGTTCGGCGGTATTGTGAGATGAAGCGGCCCGGACCGATATTACGTGTACGCTTACGCGAGACTGGTTTCATCATTACGAGCACTCATGCTTAAAGGTGCCTGGCGGGTGTCTGTCTCTCTCACTTTAGCTGAATCGAGTGTGGCTACGCCCGGTCCTTGCGAAGGTTAAAACAGCACTAACTTGAAGAACTATCGTTGTGGTTTTGATGCGTAGGTAAGAACGGTTCTTGCTAAGCCCGTAGCAGCCACGTAAAACTTGCAAACAACAAAGTAGAGGATGTCTAACTTGTTCTTGCAGGGCTTGTTGTGATGTGATATGGTCAAGACGTGATGCTATATTTTATTGTATGAGATGATCATGTTTTGTAACCGAAGTTATCGGCAACTGGCAGGAGCCATATGGTTGTCACTTTATTGTATGAAATGCAAATGCCCTGTAATTGCTTTACTTTATCACTAAGCGGTAGCGATAGTCGTAGAAGCAATAGATGGCGTAAACGACAACGATGCTACGATGAAGATCAAGGTGTCGCGCCGGTGACGATGGTGATCACGACGGTGCTTCGGAGATGGAGATCACAAGCACAAGATGATGATGGCCATATCATATCACTTATATTGATTGCATGTGATGTTTATCCTTTATGCATCTTATCTTGCTTTGATTGACGGTAGCATTTTAAGATGATCTCTCACTAAAAATTATCAAGAAGTGTTCTCCCTGAGTATGCACCGTTGCCAAAGTTCGTCGTGCCCAGACACCACGTGATGATCGGGTGTGATAAGCTCTACGTCCATCTACAACGGGTGCAAGCTAGTTTTGCACACGCAGAATACTCAGGTTAAACTTGACGAGCCTAGCATATGCAGATATGGCCTTGGAACACGGAGACCGAAAGGTCGAGCGTGAATCATATAGTAGATATGATCAACATAGTGATGTTCACCATTGAAAACTACTCCATCTCACGTGATGATCGGTTATGGTTTAGTTGATTTGGATCACGTGATCACTTAGATGACTAGAGAGATGTCTGTCTAAGTGGGAGTTCTTAAGTAATATGATTAATTGAACTTAAATTTATCATGAACTTAGTACCTGATGGTATTTTGCTTGTCTATGTTTGTTGTAGATAGATGGCTCGTGCTATTGTTCTGTTGAATTTTAATGCGTTCCTTGAGAAAGCAAAGTTGAAAGATGATGGTAGCAATTACACGGACTGGGTCCGTAACCTGAGGATTATCCTCATTGCTGCACAGAAAAATTACGTCCTGGAAGCACCGCTGGGTGCCAGGCCTGCTGC